GTCACAGATGTGTCATTCATTTGGTGGGTATTTACTGAGTACCTAAGATAAACAGAGCAGTACCTTTCTGAGCAGGCAATATTCCGTAAACATTGAATTTCCACAATGTGCAAGGATACTAAAAAATAAAACTTTCGAATGGTTTACTTTCTACAGAGGGTGCCAAAAAAATGTATACAGATTTTAAGAAAGGAAAAAACTGCATTAAAATGGTAATACTCAATATATACCGATAACAAAAGATGAATACAAGTCATGTATATACATTTTTTGTGGCACCCCCGGTATACAGAGGGACAAGATATGGAACCAAAACTAACTACAGTACAAAAGAACTCATAAGGCAGTGTCCAATGACAAGTATACACAATAGAGGCTGTCATTTAAAAAATATCTGTCCCTGAGGGTTGGAGCAGTCAGAAAAGGCTTCATGGAGAAAAAAATTCCTAAGTCTTGAAAGGATTCAGAAGATAGAAATAAGAGGGGAGAGCTTTCAGCAAAGGCTAGGAGAAAAGTACATGTATCTGTGGGGAAGAGTAAATCGAGCTCACCAGAAATGTTGGAGTGGGAGTAAAGTCTGAAAGAAGGGGTGCTAGATGGGTGAGATCCTTGAACATCAGTCAGGCCAAGGGAGTTTGGGCTCCACCTTGAACCTCATGGGAGGAGGCTTTTTAGCAGTAGAGTGACATGGTGGCCTGAGCACCTTGGTGTGAGAACTCTGAAATCTCTTTGGTAAGACTTTAAATTTATGTTGAAAGTTAAAATTTTTTAACCAGCATCACTTTACTCCTGCTCATTGATCAAGATCCACATGCAGAAACTGGCCCAACAGTAAAAGTCCAGTTATAAATTTATATATAGAATCTATAAAATTAAGTTAAACAATTCCAGTAATTGAACTAGAATTATTTTCCTAAAATAGCACGATTAAGACACTATCTTCATTCAGTGAAATTTCTCTTATTAACTTTTTTGTCTTGATACATTTTTATATAAAACAAATGTAACATTGTTGAAGTCACTTTGAAAGCAGAAATAAAATCCTATAACTAAATGCTAAATGTAACTATTGTCTTTACAGTTTTGCCAAAATGCATCTTTATTTTTACCCAGTAGCAATAATATTGTATAAACATTGTAAATGTGTTAAGCTAACTATACTACAAATGTAGTAAAGCAATCATTTTAAAAAGCTGTATAAATGTCTTTGAGATGTATATAGTTTAATCATTCCTCCATGTTTAAATGGTTTCCATTTTCCTCTGTTTGGATTAGAACTTTCTTTCTGGTGTGCAGAGATGGGAATTCAGATGTGATAAGATCTCGTAGGTTCTTGGGAGGCTGTGGGTGGGCCTATGGGGATGCAAGAAGCATCCTTGACTGATTACTTCAGTGGGCTGTACAAATATCATTTTTTTTTAAAGATTTTTATTGGGGAATTGGGGGGATGGGAACATTGCTGGGGGAATTGGGGGAAGGGGAACAGACTAGTTGCTGTCGTTTTGTTCTTCAGCCTAGTTGTGGAGGATGTTGCTTCACTGGCCCAAGTTGGCACCATCATTGCGCTCTTCTCTGGCGAGGCAGATCAGTCGCCGGCTTCTGGATGGCCGCTCACTGCGGCTGCTGGCCGCTCACGCTGGCTGCTGGCTACACACGGTAGCCCATGGCAACCCACTGCCACAGGGACTGCAGCCTACGCCGTCGCCGGCGACTCATGGCAGCCCAGCTCCAGGTTGAGCTGTTGTTCAGCATCTTAGCTGTGGAGGGCAGTGTCACTGGCCCTCATATGTGGGATCCGAACCGGGGCCCTCTGGTGTCCCAAGCCAGTTCTTAACCATCGCGCCACTCGGCCGGCCCACAAATATCATTTTTGATGTGTGCCATTACATGAAAAAAATTGGGATGCGTTTTTATAGGGATGCAGTAATCATCTTCAATTTCTATTAATATTACTGGTTATTGAATTAGAGTGCTTTTACAATTGAGTTTTAATTATTATTGTTATTATTATTTTTAAAGATTTTTATTGGGGAATTGGGGGGATGGGAACAGTGCTGGGGAATTGGGGGAAGGGGAACAGACAAGTTGCTGTCGTTTTGTTCTTCAGCCTAGTTGTGGAGGATGTTGCTTCACTGGCCCAAGTTGGCACCATCATTGCGCTCTTCCCGGGCGAGGCAGATCAGTCGCCGGCTTCTGGACGGCCGCTCACTGCGGCTGCTGGCCACTCATGCTGGCTGCTGGCTACACACGGTAGCCCATGGCAACCCACTACCACAGGGGCTGCAGCCTATGCCGTAGCCGGCAACTCACAACAGCCCAGCTCCAGGTTGAGCTGTTGTTCAGCATCTTAGCTGTGGAGGGCAGTGTCACTGGCCCTCATATGTGGGATCTGAACCAGGGCCCTCTGGCGTCCCAAGCCAGTTCTTAACCATCGCGCCACTCGGCCTGCCCAGTTTTAATTATTTTTTTAAAGCAATACTTGCACATAATAAAAATGTAAATAATACAGAAAAATAAAGAGTGGTAGGTAATAAGTTCTCCTCTAACCTCAAACATTGTATTCTTTTCCAGAGTTCAACTATGGTTAGTTTCTTATGTATTCTTTTGCAAACTTCCTAAGGCCAAACAAGCATCTATCTATCTATCTATCTATCTATCTATCTATCTATCTATCTATCATCTATCAATCATCTATCAATCAATTATCTATCTATCTATCTATCTATCATTGCATATATTTACATACATCTAGAGGGACAACATTAGAAATATTTACCACAGTTACAAACAGCTGGAAGGAAGGAAGGCCCATGGTGCACAGGACGTGCCAGAGTGCCGACTGCATATCATCAGCCTTGCATGTATTCCTTGCTTTTTTACACGTTGATTTGCACTTGGCTTTTTTCATCTAATAATATTATTTGGAGATTGTTCCACATTAGCGCATACAGAGCGCGTCACTCTTCTTGATGGAATTGCATTTTAACTACTTCCTATAGATGGATCTTTAGGCTGTTCTCAATCTTTTGTACTATAAACTCCAACACCGATCCTTACACAGTGTGAATTTATCGGTAGCATAAATGTCTCGATGAGGAATTGCTGGGAAAAGCGGTACAGTATATGCATATAAAATTATGATTGGTGTTGTTAATTTTCTTCCAAAGGGATTTACCATTTTTACTCTCACAAAAATGTTTACGATGGCCTAGTTCCCAAACCCAGGCTAACTGAATATACAGAGGGTGCCAAAAAAATGTATACACATTTTAAGCAAGGAAAAAACTGTATTAAGATTGTAATACTCAACATATACAGATAACAAAAGATTAATACAAGTCACATTTGACTTCTGCAATTACAAGAGAGGCTCAAAGTGGTTACCGTCAGCATAATTTTAATATAGTTTTTACCTTTCTAAAAATGTGTATACATTTTTTTGGTACCCTCTGCATATTTAGCAGTCTGAAGGGCGAAAAATGGTATCTCAATTTAATTTGCATTTAATCTAAAAATATTAAAAATTTAAAGTTTTGAACGATTTGAATCAAGTTTTTTTCTGTAATTAGACAAGCAAGCTTCATCCATGAATCTGAAACAGACCTAGATACTACTAGGTGATAAGCTGGTTGAGAATAAATAACAAGCAAACACTTACAAGTACCTGCCCAATGATGGGGATAGGAATAGTGTTTAATGTTTTGCTTTTGGCCTCCTCTCCTCCTTTTCCATCAGGTAGCATTAGGAAGTTGTGAGTTACACGAGTGTGTTTTGTGCTTGAGCTTTGCTTGAGGGTATTTGATGGGAATTCAGAAGAGCAAGGCAAGAGAGGACTTGTGGGTCTACTTCACATCCAATTCTAGGTTCCTCTCCTTTCTCCCTAGCAGAACCAGCACATCTGCAGAATCCAGGGAGAGGAACAGAGACATAATGGGGGGGAAAAAAATTAAGGACAATTTTGATTTGGGAGAGGCGTTTTGATTCACGATTTCTTGCTGTTTCTGCGTTTCCTGAACTGTCAGGACTCACTGGGTACCCTGTCCTTTACGTTGGGTGTAGTTAGGGAACCTCGATGGAATTGAATCTGTGTTTCAAGAGTTTTTTTTTTTTTTTTGAGAAAATGAGAGTGTGCTGTGAGGCATGCTCTGTTCGCAAATTATTCACCCTCCCTGCGCCCCCTCCCCTCATTCATTATTTATTTTAAGGAACTGGACGTGCAAGACAGGAATATGAATGTCTGCCCATACGATCCCCAAATCAGGCTGCTCAGTGTTCCGCACGGCGACTTCAAATCACGCAGAAGACGTCCCAAACACAGAGAGAGAAAAAAAAGCCTCTCCCCGCCCGAAAAGATCTTGAAACCGCCCCCTCCACCCTCACCCCAAACGTAAGAAAAAAAAATCTGTATTATTGCAAAGATATAGCCTTTCTTCAGTGGATCCTATTCTGTTTTGATGAGCTTTAGATGTTATGTGAGGAACAAGGCTTAGTGAGGTTAACACCCAAGTGCAAAGCGCAAATTTAGATTTGGGCCCGATGTTAGGGTCCGGATTTGCACATAGAGTCCCTACCCCCACCCAATCAGGGGAAGTCCCCTCGGCTGTTTTAAAAGCAAGCGGTTTTAAAAATCTCAAATCCTGCCCTTTGTGTTGGCTGCCTCGGAGTTGCCCCTTCTCGCAGCCTAACGATTTGGGATAGAAAACCCGGTGCTGGAGCTCCGCCGCAGCCCGCCGGCGTGGGCGAGGAACACCCCCCCTCTCCTCCCGCCCGCTCCGGGATCCCGAGCCGACGCCCCCGGGGCTCGCCCCGGGCCCCCACCGCGGAGCCCGGCCAGGCGCCGGGTCCCTCTCCAGCGCCCCCTCCCCGGCGCGCTGCGGCTGGCGCTCCTCCGCGCCCCGCCTGACGCTGCAGCTGGGCCGGTGATTCGCCATTGGATTAAAAATAGCAGCCCCCCCCCGCCCCCGCCAGCCGGCCCCCGACCCGGGTGCCCGCTCCCGCTCCGTGGCCCGCTCTCCCCGCCCGCTCCCGCTCGGCTCCGGTCGCCCGTGCAGCCCGCTGCCGCCGCGGGCAGACCCAGCGCTCCGGCTCGGCTCGGCTCGGCTCGGGGGCGCGCCGCGGCCATGCAGCGCCGGGGCGCCCTGTTCGGCGTGCCGGGAGGCAGCGGCAGCAGGAAGATGGCTGCAGGCGACATCGGCGAGCTGTTGGTGCCCCACATGCCCACGATCCGCGTCCCCAGGTCCGGGGACAGGGTCTACAAGAACGAGTGCGCCTTCTCCTACGACTCGCCGGTGAGTGAGGCTCGGCGGCGCGCCCCGCGCCTCCCGGGAGGATCGCGGTGCGGGCGGCCTGTGGCGGCCGGGAGCCGCCGAACTCAGCGGCACGGGAAGCGGGGGGAGAAGATGCGCAGCGGCAGCTGGGGACCTCCTCCTCCCCGCGGCGGAGTTGGCTCAGCGGCACTGCAGCTCGGCAGACACTTAGCGGATGCCTGCTGCGTGCTGGGCGCTGCCTCCCCCGACTGCGCTGCAGCCGAAGGCTGGGTTGCGAGGGGGCTTGCTCCGCCAGCCTTCCTGGGCTGATAGGGCCCCGGTCCCGTCCGCCTGCGCGCAGCCCCGCCGCCGTTTGAAAGATCGAATCGGAGTTCCCTGCTCAGAACTCCACGTTGCAGACGGGTTTTGTCCTCCCTGGGGCGAGAGCGGAGGGCGGGTTGGTTAGGTGGACGGGATCGATCCTCCCCAGGACACCTACAGCCCTTCCCTTTCTGGGACCGTTGGCTTTGCCCAGGGATTCCCACTCCTGGACAGTTCTGATGTCCTCCCTGAGCTTTGCTTCCTCCACTTTCCACTTCTCCCTACTCCCTTCTGTCAGAATGTCAGAAGAAGCCTTCTGGCACCTCTATTCGGGCGGCAGAAATAGGGGGTCTCCTGGGCTATTATGGTTTTCTTAAGCCTCTCCCCTTTCCCATTTGAATGAGTCACTTGGACTGAAATGCACTAGTATAAATTATTAAAGGTTCAATCTCGAGTCGTGACCTCATAAACTGGAGAGGGAAGTTAAGACCCATCACTGCCTTCCACCCAGGGCGATTGGTGGTGGTTTTCACCAGGTTGTATGTGTATGTGTGAGAAGGAAAAGGAGGGTGAATGTCCCTTTCAAGAGTCAAAATGGGCTTCAAAGTGACTCAGCTGTCTGGCATTTATCATGTCTTTCTGAGGACCAGGTTATTTTTATCCACCCACTTTAGATCTCATATGTCACCCGGCAGATCTCAGTGCAACCGGGAGAAGCATGGATTGGAGGGACTGAGGCAGGTTTCCAATATAATACATTTTCTTCATATTATGTAGAGTATTGTTGGAGGGAAAAAACCAAACCCAATGAGTGTCAAATTTTCCAAAGCATCCTTTATTACCTTGGGGTTAATTTGGCTGATTTCAAAGCATTTTTGTTTGGTATACATTGGAGCACCAGAATTAGTAGTACCCTCCCTGTGACATTTAGCTTTTCTTTTATGCTAATTCAAGATCATTTGGGGGATACAAATCTCACTTATTTGTTCATCACTTATTTTTTCTTTCAAAAAGGCCTATATAGAGTGGAATGAAATGGTTGTATTAAATACTTAGCATGTTGTGATATACTATTTCAAGTGACTGTCAGCAGTGCATTAAATTTTGTTATCCACAAATTATTTGAAATGCCATTTTCAGATTCTGAGCTCAATGTTGGGCAGGTTCCCTCTAATAGCTCCTGTGAGTAGAGAGGGAGGATGACCCTAACATAAAAAACTGACAGATTATGAACTCCAGGAAGAAGAAAGTGGCCTAGGTCTTGCAGGAGAGCACCACATGTCAAGTGGGTAAAACTACTTTTTGTGTTTGATCTAGGTTGATCTTCAAATTTTTGTACAAACTTGGTTATTGAAAATCTTTACTGCATTATATAATGTATAGCAGGTGTGGAAAAAGATGATTTTAATTCACTTCCACAAATAGTTATTGGGAGCTTGCTGTGTGCTGCACACTATTCTAGAAGCATCTTGTCCAGTGTAGAATGATGATTTCATTCATGGCGCAGTAGTTCCTTGGGGAAGACTGGGCTTATTTACAGGGCTGATGAATCAGTGTATTTCATTATCTGTTTCAGGGGAGGAAGAGAAAGAGGTTTGATAACAAGTTATATTAAAGCCCAGTACATGGTAATGCGAGATCTTTCCCTATAGTACTTAACACTTCATCATGAATCCAACGAGGGTTCTTTAGCACCTACTACCTGCCAACTTATACAGGCATGCCTGTAAGAATCACGCAGAGTAAAATCCATCGGCACTGAGCATACCAGAGAGTCTAATCCACAAGTGTTCTAGGACAGTGATAGAGAAAAGATGAACACCATTTGAGTGAAAAAAAAACTAGTCATCCTTGCATTGGAAAAAAGGTCATAGATAAAGATGGATAGGAATAAAGGAGACCAATATTCTAGGCAAGGCAAATCACATGTGTAAACACATAAAGTGGGAATATTATCTTCTTAATTGCTCGTAATGTATTTGGAAGAAAAAGGTTGATTTAATAAGAAGTGAGGTCAGAACCAAGTAGATTCCACCCTGATTCCCTCTACCATGGCTATTTTCCTGTCTGCCTATAATTTTCCTGTCTCAATCCCCCCTTTGATGCTGTAACGTAAAAAAACCAAAAAACAACAACAACAACAACAACCAAGTAGAGAGTAGAAGATGGGGTCCTTGAATACCTAGAACAGTGTCTTGATTTTAGATGTAGTCAGGTATGGAAAGCTACTGGAAGTAATGTGACTGAAAGTGATGTTAGAGGAAGACTGACTTCAAAAAGTTTTATTTTATACCTACCATGTCTAAGGCACGGTGTGAACACCTTTGCTATTCTTCACCTTTGTGGTGTGAGTATTGAGTAGGATGGTATGATCACTCATTTCAGTGTCCCCTTTCTTCCTTCTCACCTTCTAGGGTTTAGCACATAGCAGGTGCTCAGCAACAGTTCTGGGATGAGTCAGAATTTATTTTTTGCATCTACCAATTTGGCTTCATCCCAGACCCACCTTGCCCCCTTGACCTGTAGGTTCACCTCTCCATGACTTGGTTCATCTTACAAGATTTGTAATGTGACCTTCCTAGAGAGTGGGGATTCTGCATCTTTGTGTCCCCAGCAGCCAACTCAGCATCTGGTATATATACCAGGAACTCAGGGAATGCCTAGGAAGTGGAATGAATTACGTTTGGTTACAGGTCCTGAAAATGGTAAGGACACAACATATGGGAATCACTGGGAAAGGAATCATGTAGGATTATCCTATAGAATGTGGTGACTTCAGTGATTGCGGGGGACAAATGTGAAACAGAGACAGCCTGGCAGGGTTTGAACCCCAGCTCTGTCACCCAGCTATGTAACTTCTCTGTCATCCACTTCCTCCATCTGTAAAATGGGGACAATAATAGAACCTACCTCATGGGGTTGTTTTATGGGTTAAATAAATTAATATGTAAAGTTCGTCTGGCCAGTTACTATAGGAAGAAAAGAAAGTGATAGAGAGAGTCAGTTATGGTTGCAAGCCTGAGCGTATGGTTGTCAGGGGTTATGCAGAAAGTTGATGTAGTTAAGTGAGTACATTGCTTCACACTTCTGCTAACATTCAGCCTTCCCGCCCCACCATCTAAAATGCACTCCCATCTTCTTGGTTGTTGAGCCGCTCCTTCACTGGAATGTACTTGGTCCCACCTCTCCTCAGTTTCCAGGTTGCCGGCTCTAGGGAGGCCAGCCTCTGGGTCTTCAACAGTAAAACTCATTTCCTTTCCTAGGACCACCTTCCTCTCTTGATCATTTTTCAGGGCTCTTCCCCACCTTTCCCTTTCTGCTTCAGGCTTCATCCTTTCCTCTGAAGCCTCCGCTGTTACTTAGAGTCTGTGTCATACAACACAGCGGTTAGCTGTGATCTGTCTTCCCTGGTTTGCCATCGTTTCATTTTCTTTTACCCGTTTTAAAACATGGACTAGGTGTGAAGCCTTGCACCAAGTGTTAGGCACAGGAGGCGCTGGGCTACTCTTGTGCTAACATGGTTCTCCCCACCTGTATGGGCGTGGAGAGCTTATCTGTGCCTGGTCTTAGCTGGGGTCTGCTGGGAGGCCGAGACCAGGGCTTCGGCACAGGCAGTTTATTTTGGAAAGGTATCCCAGGAAACAGAAGTGGAAGAATGTGCAAGCGAAGTCTGACAAAGGGAAGGAAGGAAAGCCAGCCTGAGAGTGAGTTATTGAGCCACGGTGGCCACTGGTGCTCAGCCTGGCCAGGGATTGTGGGGAACAGCCGGATGCTTCTCCATCTGGGACGTGGAAGAGGGGGGCTGGCTCCCATGGCCCCTTGGTCAAGGGTGCTCCAGGGGTGAAACCCCCTTACTTTTCCAGGTTTGTGTTTGTGCCGGAGAGGCGGAGCAGGCTCCCAGCAGGCTCCCTGCCACCAGCAGCACCGGGGAAGGGAGAGACCCTGTGCAGTGAGGCTAGGCCATCAGGCCACACCTGCTGTGGGAAGCAGCTGCACACACCAGAAAGGTGGTTGAGAGGATGTGAGAGCAGCACGTGTCCCCGCACCTCTTATTCCCTTTCAGCGTCAGCACTGTTTTGTAAAAAGGTGCTTTTCCCCTTTCTCCAAAGCTCTGAGATCTCTTGGTGATGTTGAGATGTCGTTGGTTTCCACCTTCCTGCGAGTCTTTGCAAAGCCCCGGTGGACAGGAGCCTCACGGGAGTGGCTGGTTTAGATATCCATTGAGAGAGGCTTTGAGGTCATCTACTTGTAGGAAAAGTTCATATTAGGGGCTCAGTAAATCCTTCTGTGATTTTGTGATTTCTAATAAGGCATGTATATTTGGTCTTTGTCCCTGTTCCTGGCACAGAGTTCCTTAAATTCTTGGAATTTCCTAAATGATAAGAGCCATGAAGTTGTCATTTATAACAAACCCTTTCGACCACACCTGGTAACCACTTCTATTTTCTGTCTCTACTCTAGGCCCCTCATATAAGTGGGATCGCACAGTGTTTGTCCTTTTGTATCTGGCTTATTGCACTTAGCTTATCTTCAAGGTTCATCCATGTTGTAGCATGTGTCAGAATTTCCTTCCTTTTTAAAGCTGAATAATATTACATTGTATGTATATATCACACTTTGTTTATGCATTCCTCTGTTGATGGACGTTTGGGTTGTTTCTATCTTTTGGCTGTTGTGAATAAAGTGGCTCTGATCATTGGTGAGCAAGCACCTGACTGAGT